AGAATTTAGAACAACATCCACATGGCAAGCACTAGCTTGGCAAAGCAAGTGGGTCACTCAGTATCAATCCCCCATCCAAAGGCAACAAATGTTTCAACCACTGCTCAATAATATTGAGCCGTGGGGGTTCATGCAATGTAGAAAGATAACATAGAAGTCCTCCCAGTGATGATGGAACCAAACGGGCCTCGAGGATGAACTGCATATATTTAACACCGGCCTTGTCATGCCTCACAAAGCCAGCGCGGTGCAAACCTAGACATGTGGCTCTCTGACACCCAACGAACCGCAACAGGTTTCTCATGTCGGAGGGAGCTGCAAGCGTGCTCAATGAGCCTTGCTTCCAACCAGGCAGACGTCCGTTCTAGATGCACTTGCAGAGAAAAAGCCTCGGCCCTGGCAAAGGGAATGCCCGGCAAGAGTTGAGGTGTTCGTTTACGTGCATGATGCTCCTCCTGAGGGGCACAAAATTCTTGAGAGCATTGTCTTCGGTGCTAGGACGAAAACATGGAATAGCTTTGCTAGATTGTTGGCCTTTGAGTCATGTCCCTTGAAGCAACGTCTACCAAGGCGTCGTGATGAAGAGGCCTTAGCCGCAAAGCGCGAGGCTGCGCGGCAGAGGTGGGACAAACAGCTTGACTTCATTCGAAAGGAATGCGTTGAGCCCATTCTATTTGCTGACCAGCTCTGTCTTCCGCATTTGCTTAAACAAGACACCAGGAACTACTCTACAGCGCGTGCAACTCGCTACTTGACGAAACACGCACCCAGTCTTCGAACTTGAGATTGACATGTAGATCAGAATGTACGGGCGGTGTTCATCGTGAGTATTCTGCCAGCTACAGCAACAGGAGAATGGGCCAACGTGAGGATCCTTCATGCTTCCATGACAAAACATAAGTGGGCTGGGCTGGAGAACTAATTTCCAAATTCGGCTGGCCCCTTCTCGCATATCACTTGCGGACAACATGCACAGGGCTTGCGTGGCATGCGCATTCAGAGGTGGAGGGATGTTGGTCGGCATGCCAAATTTGCTGTTGCAGCGTTTTGAAATTCCGTGTCTGATACTGTGATGCTGGCTGGCATTTGATGGAAAACCACTTTGTTTTTTGGGCAGGCGGAGAGAGCAGGACTCTGCCTGCAGTGTCGTCAAAAATGTGCACATTCCTGTTGCCAGAGACATGTAGCTCTAAGCAGCTTGCAAGGACCAGCATGTTGTGGAAAGACGTGTGGACCCTGATGACAACCAGACCTACACCTGGGAAGAGCTGAGGCTACTGTGACAGAACACTTACAAGTGGGGACCTAGCACGAGCAGTAGTCGAGTCCCCACAAGCTGCATCTTGCACAGGGTAACCTCTCCTTGGCTGTCCAAATGCTCACATTAGGCAGCGCTACCGCGGCATGTTCTCAGACGGCGAGCTCTCAGAGTACTGGGAGAAGGAGGGCTCTGCAGAACTTTGCAATGTCATTTCGCAGGCTGCACTGCCTTCTTCACTCAAGCTGTACCATGAGGACTGCAAGCTCGTTCGGCCTACGCCAGCTGCCGTTGCAGAATTTACCCGGAGCAATGCAGAGCAAGGCTTGGAACGCTTCACAGCCCCAGTGTGCGGTCAGACGTTGTTGACTGAAGCCTTGTTCCAAGTCCTGCAGAGGCGCGCCTCGCAAAACAGCCGAACGACGCCGTGACCCGGACGATGGGCGCGGGTACAGCAGCTTGCTGTAACCTACAGCTATCTCAAGCCTCCTCCAGCATTCAGCCACCATGCGCCTCCTACGTATCAGCTTCTTAGGGCTTGGAGCAGCTTGCCCAGACAACTGACAGGGAGCTGTGAAAACAAGCGTTTCGACAGCATTTGCTTTCAGTCAGCTGCCTAATCGCAGTGAACTCGTTGCAGCGCTGTTCCTTTGCAAATTCTGGGGTTCGTCGCCGAAGTTGCATCGTGGCCCTCTATCATCTGAAGTTTTTCCACTGCTAAGAGCAGCATGCTGCACATGCTCTAAAGGTATGCTCGCATTATTGCAAGCCAGAACGTGACAGAGCCACATTTCGATGTTGCTGGCTGATGAACCAATGAGGTCCACGACGCAACAGTGAATCGGTACCTGCACTAGGTCAGGGCTTGCCCTATTCCGAAGTGACATTGATCTAGGGAATCGTGGCGAGGGAAGGGACGAGTAGCTCCTGCCTGATTTTGTTCGCTTGCATTTACAAGGCTTCGATGAGCTGTCGAAGAAGTACCGCGCAGCCTTCTCACTGGCCGAGATCGAAGAATACTGGTTTCATGCCGCTTGCCTTAGGGAGCCTCATTCCTTCGTGTCCCCATCATGGCTTGCTTCGGACTGTGAGTCCCTGTGCAGTCCGCAAATGACTCATTTGGGCAGTCTATGGGGAAGACTGCTCTTGCCTGCTGGCATTTGTGTTCTCCGATCTGCTCATTTGAGGAGTGCCAGCTCTATTCCTGAGAGACGTCCTGGCGCAGGATTGTCCACCAGAAGCTTAAGACAAGCTTCCACCGCTTAGCGCTTCCGGTTCAAGATGACTCGTGAAGGGCTGATAGAGTTCAGGCAGCCGCCAGTGCTGGCGCAAGCCTTCGTGTGCTACAGACCCCATCCCGATCCCTGCCAGTTTGCATGGCAGTGGGGAAGGTGGTGTTCGGCAAGTGACCACAGGGAACAGGCGTCTAGCAAAGTCCGCGATGCAGTCTTTCTAGCTGCAGGTGTTGAGGATGGTCCAGAAGCTGCTTTTGCGGCCACCTCTCACGCTCAAAGGTTCTCCTGCTGGTCTTCAGCTTCGATGTGCGGCGCCTGGCTTTCTGACGAGGAATGGTTTTTGCTAGATGTGGTTCAGGTCTCAGAAACATGAGCTTCCTTTGCGATGCAGCTTGTGCTTTGTAAACGCTGGCAATACCAGTGCTACTTGCCTTCTGCCAAAACGAAGCTTTTCTCAAGCTTGACAACTTACCACTGTCGGCACGAACAGTGTGCATGGAGCAGAAAGACTGCCGAGCATGCCAAAGCAAAGGGTGTTTTGGCATCAGCATGTGCAGTGTCCTTAGCCCTCGGCGAAAGGGAAAGCTGTAAGAGAAACAACTAGACCATTACTTAGATGGTTTCTTCGGGAGATTATCCCTATCTCCCAGCAACCTGATGCCAAATCTGAAGGGAGTTTTCCGGAACAGGCTTCCAAACATTTCTGGCCCAGAAAGAAAAAATCAATGAACTTCAGCTCCTAGCTTATACATGATGCGATGAAGCGGGCGGCTGCATCCACAGACGGCCCAGTGACCTGGTAGGCAGAAGAAGTTGCAACATGACGTGGTAGGGACGACCGCAGAAACTGTGACCTCCAGCCGAGGCAAAGCGCCACCATGCGGAGGAGCAGCCATGCAACCCGGCTCGTGGCGGTGGGATGGTCTTGTGGTACAGCGGACGACGTCAAACGGGCCGCGTGTTGTCGGATGATGGGGTGGAGATGACAATACCAGTTGGCGGTGCTCTAAATAGAAATGTCGTGCCGCTGACGCCCAGTGGCCTGATGCACGGCACCCGCGTGCGCTGCATGCCGACGAGAAGAAACGACAGCTGGAACTGCATTTCTGTTCGCCCCAGCACTGAAGTCATCCAACAAGGCCTGACTGTGGGTGTAGACAAGCAAGGGGGCAGCTCCGAGGACCAGAGCCATCTTTCTGCTGCTGATGTGGCAGACATCGGCTTCCTAATTGGTATCCTGGATGGACACTGTGGCGGTGCATGCGCTGCGCATGTGGCTGAAAGATTCCCGACCATCCTGCATGACGTCTACAATTTCGAGCTCAGCCAAACAAGAGGACGCTGAGACAGCATGTCATTCATGGCCAGTGTGAAGAGCTATCGCCCAATGCAAGGAGGAGCGACAGCGCTGAGTGGATCACAAGAGGCTCGTTCATGTGCGTGGGACAAGTATACTTCAAGCACATACTTAGCATTGCAGGCGGAGCTCCTCAGAGATTCCCTTCGAGGCCTGCGTTGGCATCCCCTGCAACCTAGGAACAGACATCGGATCTTCGATGATTCGAACCGAAGTGCTAGCCAGGTGCATGCCGAGCCGCTGAGAAGGATGGCACCTGAGCACTGCCGTGATCCTTGCGTAGGCGTTCACTTAACATTCAGCTATCTCACGGAAGTGATTCAGAGTGCAGCCGCCGCGCGAAGGATTTGATGAAGGTCGCGTCTCAAGGCCACTGGACAGATGGGAGCCTTGGCTCACAAATTGATCAAAGAGTTTGCAGCGTTACCGACTCTCGGAACTTAAGCTGCGAGTCCAAAGCTTGGCTTCAAGTGCTAGATTTGGGATTGGCTTCGTCATCACGCTTGCTGTTTGTGTCCTTACAGTATGTGGACACGGTAAGCACTCCACTGCAGTCCATGCGATTGGTTTTGGTTCACAGGCCAGGATGCATCATCTACATTCAGTTCAATCTAGCTTTCCGAAGCTAAGGACATCTGCCGTTTTTGCGCTTCTAGCTCACGGTTTCGAAAGTCAGAGTGCCTCGGTCATTGGCATGGTGTATAACTCTTCCCCCCCTTCAGCTTGCAAAGGGCAGCTGGGACTGCTGTGTCATGACACCGGTAGTGCTCAGACGATGTCTTAGCATTTTATAGTGCATGTGCGCTTTTTGTTGCTAGCTGGTGACAATCAACAGTAAGATCTCTTGAAAGACTGTTTACTTCAAGCAAAGACGCAAAGCTGTGAAACATTTGGTTTTGCAGGGCCATGAGAACTCACTCAATCACTCAGTTGTGCTTCAGCATCGCATGCACGCGCTTTTTAGGTGCTCGCACTGTACCGGGCTGTGCTGGCGAGGCCAAGCTTTTCCTGGCGGCTTGGCATTGATGGCAGTTGGCGGGGCTTGTTTGGCATAGATCTAAGGGTCATTTCGCTGGGAATTAAGAACATCGCCAAGCTGCCTGAATTCCTTCATAGCTCTGGCGCATCGGATTTTATGCAGGGCTTCATTTTGGCTCGTTGGAGCCGTGCTTCAGTTTACCTGCGGTAGGCATCTTGATCATCAGTCAAGCGCGTGAAGCTGAAGGCGTGGTGCGGCGACAGCCGAGCACTCTTGCTGCACTCGCACAAGGCTTGTGTCCTTCGTGTGTACTGCCAGCATGTGCTGAAGGAAACTTACAAGCTAGGAACATGGTTCTTGGCAAAGGCCTGTGCAGTGCCTAGTCAAGACTCTGTGGGATGCAAGTGCAAGGTTCTGGCACTTTCGAAAGACCATGTTCCGTCGAGGCCCCTGGCGCTGCGTGCTGAGATCTGTTGGGCGGGAGGTCTGAGCATTGCTGTGCCAGGAAGGAGGAGTACAACCGGGTAAAGTCTGCCGGAGGCAAAGTCCTCGACTTTGGTGGCATTCTGAAGGCCCCGTGATGGCGAATCCTCGCCCATGTGACTATACTCTACCAGTATGAGTATGGAATGTTCAAAAGTTTGTACTTCGTATGATGCTTGACGAGGTGGGTCGAAGAGACAAGTACAAGGAGAAAAAGTCAACAGGCTGTGGATCGCACAGCGTTGCATGGACTTCCCTGAAAGACAGGAGCATCCAAAAAGCTAACATGCCGATCTGACTTCAGTAGGGCTGTCAGCTGCTTGTGCTATCTTGTGCTCTCATGGACCATGGTGACAGCTCCATGAAGCCGATCCAGCTACACAGCAGGTGTCGCTTGTTTGGCTGGCCACCATGTTCAGGCTCCTTCAACGACTTGCTTTGGCTGCACACGACTCGATCATTTGGAGACATTCGGTTGAAGGCGCCCTTCAACATCGTTGCTTGGCTCATTTATGGCAGGGGCCTTTGTTTGTCCTGGCCGCTCTGTTTTTCTCAGGTCCCATGTGAGGCGGAGGTGCTAGTCCGCACACTGACACAAGAGGAGACCTTGGTTGGGTATGGCACGTCGTTGCTACCCATCTATGAAAGATGCTTCTTGTTGGTTGACGGTTTCCACAAGAGGACTGGGCCATCGTTCTGGTTTGCAGCAAGGCCAGACTCACACGCAGGGTCTCCTTTCAAACGAGGCTCCGTAAGATGCCGAGCATTCATTGATGCGACAACTAATGTGAGTCTTGGGAGTCATTCAGAACATTCACAGCCCCAGGCAGTGGGCAGTAGATCAGTCGGAAGGCCCAGCGGGGCTTGCAGGTGACATCCAAGCTCAAGAACCAAGACATCGCGGACATTTGCAAGGAGCAGTTCTTGCAAGGCAAAGACCCAGTTGCTGTCAGTGCAGCGCTGAGTCCGTTTAGCTCTGGCAGAGCTTGCAAACAAGACACTGATTATGATTATGAGCGGACGGCCTGTGAGGGAAGGGTCTGATTGTCGTCAAGCGTCAGCCGATGGTGTGAAGTACTCACTGGATGATCTGCTTACGTCACGTAGCTATGATTTTGCCGAGCAAACAGCGGCAAGCAGCATTTCGCGCGTCCTGGTAAGGTCAGGCAGTAACACTCTCTGCCAGAAAGCGCGGCGCGCGGCTAGCCTTGCAGGGTGCATGTGCGTGTCAACAGCCATGAAGTTGATCGAGATTTTCATCCTTTGTCATGGAGGAAGTGTGCAGGAACTTGCTTGTCCAGAAAGATTCAATGCTGCTGGTCCGAGGATGGGCAACCTGACCTGCGTAGTCATCCGTCTAGGGTGGACTGCTTTACAGCCCCACTGGCTTGCGGATCTTGCGGAGAAACAGCAAGTCCTTTGTGCATTCGTACCTGTGTTGTGCCAGGTAGCTTTGCTTACTAGAGCAACAAAATTTAACCAAGAAGGAGGCAGCATTACCTGGGTCACTTTGATTGCTCCAACTCGCCGTGGCGGAGTTAAGCTGGAAGGGAACCGTCGGGCTGCTTGCCACCAACAGCTGGAGCCGATGTTGTGACATTGAGATGAGCCTAGATGTGCTGACGCACGTCGCTTGCACGTAACCCGCTCTGTCCTTACTCCTGCGGACGACTTCGAAAGCTTGCTGATGAGGCACTTCTTCGTCAACCTGGTGTCACGGTGGCGGTGTGTGCCTCAGAGGCTCTTGTCGACTCTTCGGCTGAGATGGACCATGAATGTGCAAACATGGGAGCAGAGGTTACGCTGATGATCTTGACTCAGCGGTGGCCCCAGAAGTGCAGATGGGTTGCTCGCGATATGAGGGGATTCTTGCAGCCAGCTCTGAACATGCAAGAGGCACAAACAGGAAAGTTCCAAGAAAAGCCAGGAATGCTGAGAACAGCAACTAGCCGACGTTGTGAGAGATGCACATGGTGTGCAAGATCAGTGTCCCATCTGTTTGTTCATTCAATGTTGCAGCGCCTTGATGGACGTGAACCTCGCGTGAAGTGAGGTGGCTTGACTTGCCCTGGGCTCGCCTTGTGCGGGTGCTCGATGCCTCGCGCCAGCTGCTGGCCAGTGCCTCAAATTAAAAGACTTTACTTTAACTAAAACCTTCAAATTCTCTAAGACTCTAAGAGGTGCGAATGATCGAGGCTGTGCGCGTTCGAAGTGACCAATTTGTATATCCTCTTTATATGCTTGTCTTCAGCTCACGGCCTGGTGCCTGCCGCAACTGCGATAGGACATCCTGCCAACACCGCGGCGACCTGTCCTGCATCGAGCCATGTTTGCAGCGCTGGCGCTAGAGGAGCGGCAAAGTGCTTGGTTTCGAATCCAGGGTGCACATGTCATAGCGTGCCTGAGTCTAGTCGTGTTCCGCTTTACCGTGTTGTGGTGTCAGGCGCGAGAATTAAGTAGGCATGGCCTGAAAGACAAGACTGCAATATACTGCAGATATTCCACTTAATTAACCATACAAGTAGCTTGAGCCTGTGCCTTGCCTGTCAATGTCTGTCTAAACGTGATTGGCGGGGGGAACATGCAAGTTGTAGCATCTCAAAAGCTGCCTGGCTCAATGTCATGTGGGGGCTGGTGTAGGGCACTGAAAGCAGCTTGCTGCTCTTCTCAGGCGCTGGGCAGTCTGAGCAGATTGGCACTGGTCTCGCTGATACTGGTCAGCATCCAAGGTTTTCGGTCTGGCATGTATCTTTGGCCCCTGATTTCCTTCAGGTGGTGCTATGCGCTCTGGTGCGGTACTGCTCTTAGCGGCCCTGGCTGCTTCCAGATGTCCCATCAAATATGAGGGCTCTGAAAGCAGCGGACTCAGCTTGCGCTTGCCTGGCTGAGGTGGCGATTCAGATCTAGATCCTCACAGTCTGTCGAGCTGATGTTCGTGATGTGCGAGAAGATGGATGCAATGCGGGTGCCTGGATCATTCCATTCGTAAGGCTTGGCCTGCTCAGATCTAGAGTTCCATGACTTCACTGGCAGGAGCGCATGCAGAGCTTCCGCGAGCCAACATCTCAGCCGAAAGCTCTCTGTTTGTGTCAGGCGAACTCTGGATGCTGTGTTGGAAGCGGCACGCTGAGGCGTCTCCATATGGGGCGGAGCGAGGCTTGAGTTTCATATGATTTTTAATCTTGAGCTGAACAAACCTAAATATCAGAGGCCTACATTCAGGAGGTGTGGCGCCCTTCTGACGTCACTTGGGCCCAGCACTGAGCACCTTCGGCCCTTCAGGAGCCCAATGCCGTCCCCGACATGTCTTTGCCCCCTCGGCGGTCCTTCGACTTTACGGTGGCAAACGTACCCAAGGCTGGCCAGATGATGGCGCTGCAGCCACCGCAGGCCCTTAACTTTCCACATCTTTCGAAAGCCTCTGGCAGCTTCATTTGTGGACAGTAAGTCGTAGCAATGCAGGTCGCAGGATCGCAAGGAGTGTCATTGTCAAGGCTGCGCCTTGTCCTTGTCTATGTGCTGACGAGGTTTTTCTCAATCTCTCTGTGCAGGTTTGAAGCCTTTGGCTCGAACAATCTTCCTTGGGGAAGCCCAATCCTCAGGCTAATGTTTGCCAGCTGTTTCACGCATCCAGGCAGAATACGGTGCACCTAATTAGTCCAGGCAGTGCATGTGAGATGATTGGGGCCTGCCAGCATTTTCCCTATGTTGCAGTACATGGCTTGAGGCGTATCACGACTCTGCGCATGCGGTTCGGCCAGTGCTGTGGCAGTGATGAGCCGGCAGCTGAGAAAAAACTCGGTGCAGCAGCTCCGCTAGGCTGAGCCAAAGGAAAAGCAGTGCTTGCAACTTGCAGCAATTCCAGCCGCCAGGCTTCAAATGCAGATGTACTGTTTGACTCTGTATGGCTCCCCTGAATCTGCGGAGGTCTCATGGCATCCTTCTTGCGCATCACCCTGGCCTCAATTCCAGTTTGCTTGACGGCGCTGACAGCTAGAAGTGCAGGCGCGGGTTCCAATTAAAAGCGTCTACTAGTCGCTTGAAGCAAGTTCAAGAAATGGAAGCAGAAAGCAGACTGATGGAATGCCACGATGCTAGTGCAAAGCCTGGGTAGGTTGACCCTTTTACCCACGACAGCGCTAAGCTTTTGGCACGATTCCAACACAGCTCGAGCAATTTTGACCTTGCAGAGCGGTCGCGCACTTGCTCCTGTCCTCGAGGAATGTTGCGACTCTGCAGCTTCACTGCCGCCTTCGCTGCTGCTTCCGCCGTGCAAGTGTTCAGCCGATTGCTGAGAGATCTTCATCGCAGGGAGGTAGTCTAGAAAGTACCTTTGGGCCTCCTCAGCACTGGCAGTGTCATGAGCACAAGCATCAGCCCAAGTTTTTCCTGGTTGAGTACAAGTAGTAGCAGTTGCAGTGACACTGGCAGTGGCGGCAGCAGCAGCAGGAGCAACAGGAGTACTGGTAAAGCTGCGGACTGCAAATTACTCATCAATGAGGCCTCAAGACTCAAGAACCTCACGGATTGCCCAATTTGAAAGTTGTTAGGCCATTTATTTCTGCTTTGGCTATACCAGGAGCAATGAGAGTAAGGTAGGATCGACTCACGGAAGAGGAGTCGTTGTAGATGACAGCATGCGGCCTCTGACTTTGAGACGTTGAGTTTCATCTGAAGCACCAGCATGCCTCTGCGAGACCTTGAGATATGAGGTTCATCCAGACAAAATGCTATTTTTTGGAAGCTTTGCTGTGACGAAGGTGGCATTCAAACATTTTTCCCCCGCCTTTAAATTCATGCCGGGTTTAACTTGTGAGAAAGGACACTGCTGCAAGTAGAGGACAAGCAAATAGTTTCAAGCACGGATGTACTGATTGACTTTTTGTAGCGGTAAATCTGGAGAGGCCGCGTGGCATCTTTTTTGGGCAGCTTGTTAGCTGCGGTTCCCCCTCTCCTCAGCGGACTGAAAGCCAGACTTGCAGGTGCGGATTGAAATCGAAATGTTCTTGCTGATCAGCTAGAAGTTAGAAGTTGTCGCGACATAATGCCACAGGCGTGGGAATCGCCTCCAACTTGTCTCAAGTGCCACAGCACAGGCACTCAGCAAAGGCAGAGCTTGGTGCACCATAACGGCCCTCTCGCTGCGGCATCTGCTGCCAACACTGAGGCTGCTTCGATGTTTTCTCTTGCTCCCGAACTTGGTGGATGCCAAAGGCAGTGCATCCATAGAGATGACCAGTGCTCGCAGGGCCGGCCGGTCCATGGCTTCGCGGAGATGACTTTCAAGACTGGTAGTAAACTCCGGTTTATTGTGGTCCACCCGCATCAGAAAGTGTATGCTCATGCTGAAGATGCTGAATTGCGAAAAAGGCGCGGGGTACCGTGCCGAGGGTTTGGTTGAAAGGAGCGACTGAGTGGCAGGCTGCACCGTTCAGATTGGTGCCGACCATGCTGGCTGTAAAGGCGGGTTGCAAATCAATGGCCACAGCACAATGCAACCCAATTTTTTGATGCTACCTTGTACAGGAACCCATTGGCATTGCTGCTTCAGAGCAGGTAGATTCAAACCTGGTCATTTTCGCTGTTTGCCAGGGGCAGTGCTTGCTGCAATGAAGCAGAGCTAGCGCAGCAGTGAGGCCGCAGCAGACGAAGGGTTGGATTTGCAAGCGTTCAGACTTCCCTGACCAACAGCCAATCATCAAAACTCTGGCAGGTTTGAAGGTATATTCATATAGGTCATCTTCCTAGAGGCTGTGGCACTTCAGTCGTTTCTTTTTCCTGGAGCGCAAACACATGGGTGTGTGCACAGCTCACTGCAAAGCCTGCAAATTCAACTTTCACACTATGCAGGCATCAGCAATCCGCAACCTCTTGGCAAATTGCAATGCAGAGCAATGCAGAGGGTGAGAAGAACTAGCCGCCGGACTTGATAGCTTTTCCATATCAAGTAGGTGTCATGCTTGGAAGGTGACTAGAAGCATTTGAACGCAAGACTCGTACCTTCAAATAGATTTGGCACAAGACCTTGCTTGGAAACCAGTGCGCAACCTCAATTTCAATCTATCCAACTCATAATGCTACTGCGCCGTTAAGGCTCGCGTTCCATGTCGGCACGCCCCAGAATACAAGGGCCTGAAGCAAAGAAGCCAGGCCCATCGGTAGTGGGCGTCTTGGTTGTGGCATCTGCTCTGGACTGTATTGGCTGGGTTGAATCTACGCGCTTCGCCAGTCACGGGTCGCCAGAAGTACGTGTGTGGTATGGATTTGGAGCGCCCGGGTTTTCGGAGACTTCTATGGACTCCCTACTATAAGCATTTGTTGAGCATTTTTCCGCGCAAGCCACCACTATGCGAACGCCTTGGCAACTTGAACTACTGATGGAGGGATTGCGCAGTACGCGTGCATTATCCCAACAGCCACATCCGCAGACATGGGCAAGTAAACATCAGCAAAGCCGAGCTCATTGAGCATGCGTCATGACAGTAAACTGCAACAGCGCGACGCTTCTTGGAAAGGAAGAGCAGCTTTAGTTTTGCGCAGGCAGAGCTTGTAGCCCTGAAGGCACAACAATCCATTGCGGTCCCCATGCCTTCGAGCGGGCTTTCGCAACAGTGCCAGCTGGAAGACGATCTGGCGCTGAAAGCTCCGCGGATCACAGCTTTCTGCTCTTGTCCAAACACAGCCAGGGTTGCAGGCAATCCGAATGGATATGGTTTGTGGGTGCGCAATATTGAGCTACTCGGTTTTTCCATCCCAGCAACAAAAAACTCAGAAAAGGAAACAGCCAAGACAGGACTTGGGCAACCAACTGTTTTTGCCATGGAAATCGGTAACATGAGGCATGCTGCAATAGTGCCCAAGCGGTGTTCAACAGGTGCAGCTAATTTCCGATGCGAGCAACCTAGACAAGAGATGGGCGATCATCGGCGCATCTTTGTAAATTTCGCCTTGCCTTGCGGGTTTAGTTCCAGGATGTTCCAGGATTTGTCCTTCTCTCATATGATGCAGGTTGGCGCCTGTCGATCTTGTGAGACGAGCCCAGATCCAGGCGTTGGGTCATCTAATGGGCCAATGCACAACTTTCGCTCTTTCAGTCATGAACGTGGCCCTTGTTTGCCAAAAAGTGCGTTCCCCAAGTGTCAGAGCGCTTGTGACAGTTTCGAGCAGCCACTTTCATGTTGCACTTTGTGCGCAGCTGTGATTGAAATGCCCTGGGCAGAAAATTCATGCACCAAGCCGATGCCGGTTCAATTTGACTTTGAGGCTGCAGGGGCTACGAAGTCAGTCAAAACCGGAGCTGGGAGCATGCTCGCATTAACAGCCGGAAAGACTCGCTGCCTTGCTGCGCTTGATGGACAGATGTTGTTTTCTGAGATGAGCTGTTGCGCTCCGACTTGGACGAACACCGGATGTAGCCTGTTTGGCTTTGATGCTGAGCAACAGGTATGCGAAACAACAAAATTGTGGTACTTGCAGAAAGCAACTCAGAAGATGCCTCCGCAAGCAACAGTTTCGTTGGCACATCTGATTTGTACAAGTTCAGTTGGCACTGGCCCAATTCTACATAAATCAGCTGCAGACCCTAGTGATTGCTACTCGAGCAATTAATCTCAGCCGCTTGCAGTGTGAGCCATGTGGCGCGGAAGCACTGTTCGATCCTTACCCATGGCCTTTATCGCGTGATCTCATGAATTAGAAGCAGTCTCTGGCCGTTGAAAGTTGGGCACAGTGACGGTGCTAAGATTGCCCGTCATGGCGCTTGTCTGACATGGGCACCACGCCGGAGTCACAGGAGTCCATGATGGGCTTGGTTTGTTTGTGGTGCATGTTTGCGCGCTTGCTAGGACAAGTGGGCTTTTTAATGTTCCTTTGGAGCTGTTTATGTAGGTCCAAAGGGGCGATTGGCTGCGGGTTCAACATAATCTATATGGGGCTTCGGAAGCAGGGCGGAGCCAAGCTACTATGTATAGAGATGTATAGGGTCCGGATCTACATAGCCTGGGTAAACTGGCCACTTTCGAGCTGTATCTGACGGCTTGAAACTATCCACGATGAGGCTGTCAATTCGGCGCTCACTTGAATTTCCGTGAGTAGTGCATGGACGAAATCCATGTCATCTATCGAATGGACATGTCGCTCAGGTCATGGGGCTCCTCCTCTGGGAGAAGCTCGGAGGGGTATGAAGTGCCCGGTCTGCATCCTATTCTTCTGAGGCAGGCAGGTCAGCATCCAAGCATGAGAAGGACATGTGAGGGACATGAAGACCTGCTGACATGTTACGTCTTGCCAGTCCTAGTCTTTGCTATTATAAGCAGACAAACGCAGGCAGTGTCGCACAATTTCACACAGCTGGACATTGATGGTAGAACATTAAACAGCATGATGCCGGCTCTCCAGGTACAAGCTGTTCCCATCGCTGGATTTCCTGGCTTATCTCAAGAGGCTGCAGATGTTGTAGTCCGGCAACACTGGATGTCCTTTGATGTTGAGCTAACATCAATAAATGGGGTGACAATAGTATTTTGTTGCCGGGCCAGAAAACTACTGAAAGACTACGTTTGCTTTCTCACAGGGGCCAACAAAGATATAAACAAGTTCCAGCGGCAATTACAAAGGGGTGACAATAACAACATTGTCCGCCCGAAAACCTCCCGATTTGAATAGATTCCCTTTGCTTGTGCCACGAGTACAACGGCCTGCGCTACCTGGTCCTACCCCAACCCTTGGTTTAGTATCCTTTCCGTAGACCAAAAACGCAAAACAAGATCTGAGGAAGGACTCTTTACTGTCAGCTCAACATTAGGTGGTTTATGCCTCTC